ATCTTGGAGATTATCGTGTGGGAGGCAACCAATCAATGTGTCTCTCTCATATCGATGTTTCTCTCTCTCCCTCTACTCTCTCTAAAAATCAATGGAAAAATATCTTCAAGTGAGGATTAACAAAAATAAAAAATAAAAGAGGAAAAAAATTAATATCATTTCATCACTGTTTCAGTTAGAATTTCTTTGATTACAAGTAAGATTTAACATTTTTATATTTTTCAGTCAATTTTATTTCTTTTTCTGGATTGCTGTTAATATTCTTTATTATTTGATTTGAACACTACTTAATGTATATCTTGCTCTCTTCCTGAAAGGATTTAAAGCACTTAAAGGTCACAAAATGCAGAATAGCATTATTAAAATAAGATGAAGTAGAAAGGGAAACAACACAAAGCCAGGAATCATGCTTAAATGCATACACCAATGACAATAAATCTGCTCTTAGTAGGCAAGAAATTTGCCTCCAAGTTCTCCAGATGATATCCCACAAAGAGAATCTTGCCATTTACCAAGTTCACATTGACAACAAGGAAGAGAATGAAAGAGCAAGAACTAATTGTTCAGGATAAATATAATTAATATTGATATTAAAATCTGACAAGACTATATATATTACTGATTTCAGAGAGGAAGGGAGAGGGAGAGAGAGATAGAAACATCAATGATGAGAAAGAACCATGGATCAGCTGCCTCCTGCACCCCCTCCTGAGAATCAAGCCCACAACCCTGGCATGTGCCCCTGACTGGAATCAAACCCGGGACCCCCCTGTCTGCAGGCTGATGCTCTATCCACTGAGTCAAACCAGTCAGGGCTCTGACAAGACTTTGAACTATTTTTGTTATTTTGCATTTTTTGTATAAGTTGCTTCACTTGGATTATTATTTTTTCCATGACTACTTAATGGGGGGCATATATTATATTAATGTGATTTACAAGAGTGTCTGGCATATGGGAGCGGTCAATGAGTATTAGCTTCTCTGTTAGTTTTACTAGTATTAAGTTTTTAATATCAAATCCCTCGAATCTATTTTTATATTAATGTTAATATATTATTTTTAGAAGATTAAGCAACAGATAAGAAAAGTCCTTTGGGATTTTGATTGGACTTGCTTTAGAGCTATTAAACTAAGAGAAAATTTGACATATTTCAATATTCAGTCTTCCAATTTGGTAACATGGCAACTTACTTGTTTGCTTATTATTAAAACAGCTTTATTGAGATATTACTCACATACCATACAATTTACCCATTTAAAGTGCACAACTCAATGGTTTTTAGTATGTTGACAAGCCACCATCAGCACATTCAATTTTTTATCCAAATCATCTTTTTTGTTTCTACATTAAAGATTTCTGTAATGCAATTCCTACAGAGGATGCTTTTCTGATCTAGTATGAATTCTTGTTGCCAAAGTGAGTGGAACACTTCCCCCATTATATTTTCTATCTGGAAGTACATGGAGCTCATGGGAAATGCACCTATCCTCAGACTATAGCATTGCTTGGATTTTTCTTCTTTTGAGAAAACTTCTCTCTAGAAATTTTGATCATCTGATGATCAAAATCCACTTGTTTCCTTTTCCTGGCTTTCCAATCTCTTAGCTCATGACGGGGTGGTAACAACTGTACCCATCTCCCTCCAGTCTAGGGGCCTCTGCATATGCTGCCCAGTCACCCTGAGATGCTCTTCTCCTAATACCCCCAACTCCCGTGAGCTCATTTACATCCTTCAGATCGAAGCTAGATTTACTTTCCGAAAGGAACGGGTCTGGGTTGGGGGCCCTTCTCTGATTCTCTGGTAGATCAGGTCTCCTGTGAGGCTCTCTGATTCTATTATAATTTGCCTTCACTTACTATGTAAGTTATCACGGTTTAATTCATTAGCTGGTTTATGGGCTCCCCTGATAAATGTCTTTCCTTCCCATTAAACTCCACGTTGCAAGGACAATATCTGTTTTGCTCACTATTTAATACCCAGCCACCTAGCATGGCGCCTGGAACAGAAGTTGCTGTTATTGGATGAATTAAAGAATGAATGGTTTGGAGTAGTTCAGTTTTCCTTCCTCTCACCTCAAACTCTGTTTTCAGAGTCTTGTTTGCCTTGGAGTTCTGGCATCCCTCCCTTCTTCAAGGCCAGCTTTTATTATATGAACTCATATGTTTTATGAAGCAGCCACATGCTGCTTTATGAAGATCAATAAAGGTGGTCTTTATTGTTTGGGGAAATGCTTTATCCCTGCTAGAGCTATGTGAATGTCCTTTGCTTTAATATTTTTGGTTAAAGTTTGCTCTTGCCTTCTCAGCGGGTCTATTTAACTTTAAATATTTACTTTAACGTTCACTAGGACTGTTTTTCTAAAGCAGTACCATAATTTGCCTGTACAAAAATGACACCAGCTTCCTATTCTCTCTAAGGAGATGACACTTTTTTAATATTTGAGAGAATCGGGCTAAAGGGGGCATTTTATGTGAGAAGCTGGAAAAGAAGAACTAGAAAGTCTATTAAAATCAGCAGATAGCTCATTTCAGATGCTCACGTATCCTCTCAGCTGGGCCACTTCAACTCCAAGAGCAGAGGTAAGATTTGTTTTTCAATGTACTTCACAATTTATGAAGTGATATTTCTCATCTTGTCTTATATCTCAGCACATTGGATGTCAATGGCTGGAAGGTTCTAAGAATGCCCAGGTCTATACCTTAGATCATAGATCCAGGTGAAGACCTTGTTGGATAAAAATAATACTGCAATGTTTATCACCTGTCAATCATCCCACAATGCTATGAGAAAATATCTTTGGATGATGGGCCAGTGGTGTTTATTTCCATCTGTCTACTTTGCTCTATTTTCTGCATTGCCTATAATGAATAGTACTATTCTATGTCAGAGAAATACCCATATAATCTCTTAAATATGTCACTTAGAGATTCTTTCATGGTCTTATGCTTCAAGAGCCCACCTGCTTTGAAGCATGGAACTTGCTTCCCAGAAGAGACATGGTGGGGGGCCATGGTTGGGAGCCATGAGAAGCTACATGTATTACTTTTAGTGTAAAATAAATTATTCTGGCAAAATAGTTAGGTGAGGATAGAACCATCCTCTTGAATTTCATTTGCGCAGCAAGCCAGTCCCTCTTCCTTGGGGTTCTCTGTAAGAGCAGCCAGAAAAAAGGTTATTTCTTTCCTCACCCCATCAGAAAAAAAAAAAGGTTCCAGCCTGCCTTGGCTACTGCAACATGTAGTGAATCACAAATTGGTCTGTCCTGCACAGCCTTTTGCTTTTCATTTTATTTCTGATTCAAATTAGTTGGTTGAAGCAAATGAATCTCAATGCTGAAATGGTGATGAGATGTTCACATTCTTAACTCTTAACTGTTTTTTAAATTGTGTTAAATGTGTAGCTAGCATGCTAAACAGTTATGATCAATAAGAAAAATGGAGCTATTATGTTCATTGAAAGTTATCTGATATTGTGATTACAGATACTTAAGCAGCCAGGACTCAATTCACCAATGAACTGTGTATAAATCCAAATCACAAATCCTACTTTTTAAGTCAAGTATTGCTTAGTCCAGTGATGGCGAACCTATGACATGCGTGTCAGAGGTGACATGCGAACTCATTTTTTTGGTTGAGTTTTCTTTATTAAACGGCATTTAAATATATAAAATAAATATCAAAAATATAAGTCTTTGTTTTACTATGGTTGCAAATATCAAAAAATTTCTATATGTGACACGGCACCAGAGTTAAGTTAGGGTTTTCAAAATGCTGACATGCCGAGCTCAAAAGGTTCGCCATCACTGGCTTAGTCAAATATTCTGGGTGTCCTTACATGAAAAAAAAAAAAAAAAGAAAAATAAAAAGAAAAGGTAAATGAGACTTTAACATAGAAACAACAGTAGGAAAAATATATACATTTTTGAGAACCTTAGCAGAAATTAATTTATTACCTGAAATTAAATGTGGTTACATTTAGGCCTGTCTCACTGCATGAAGAACTTGCTAGTTATAACAGAAACTTGACCTTGTCCAGTTTTACTCACTTTGTCTTGTGGACTGGGTTAGGCTTATAATTTCACCTTTCTATTGTGGTGGAGTGGGGAATGGAATGATTGTTTCTTTTGCTTAGAAACTTGTTTTACTGCTATGTATGGTTTATCTTCATGATTTTACTTTTAATCCCCTAAAATCATTGCTTTATGTTTCTCCTGCATAGCATCCTGACTTAATTTTGGCAATCTTTGGTTCTGATTTGTGAAACTTACCACTGCTTTACCAGTTCATTTGAACTCTACCCTCCTCCTTCTCTCTACCTTTAATGTCAAATATCTGGAATATAAAAGGCAGCCTATATTAGATATAATTTTCTTAAATGTCCGTGGGCAATTGTAATGTAAGTGTTGGTGATCTACCCCCAACCCAAGGTGACCAGCTCTACAGCTTTCTGTACTCTATAAGGACACCCTGTTCTTAGCTAATCTTGTTATCTCAGTTAGTTAGCATTCCTTCTTATAAACCCACTGAGATCCCTAGCATTTGACTTTGGGAGCTTATGATAAAATGTTAGTTCTTAACATTTTACTATTTTTCAATGGTGAAAAAAAGGTTCTTTACTATTTAAAATATGGATTATACTATTTATTTCCATTCATTTTCAAGAGAAATAATCTGTTTTTGAAATATGCTTTGGGTGAATATGCTTGGTAACATTATTCCCAGAAAGCCATTCTGTCAGTCAAATAACACAGGGAAAAACTGTGCTAATAGATGTTTTTACCAGAAAGACTTTCTCTAGCACAGATGCCCCCTGAAACTCTTCACTCTTTTTGTTTCACTTAATACAACAATAAAATATATAATTCAACAAGGCAACAGATTTTGGACTGGTCTACAGAGAGCTGAGAGAATATTTTGTGTTAGATAAAAGAACAAACTACAGCATAAGACACAATATATGGAGTTATAATGGATGATAGAGTTAAAAAGGAAGCATTACCTTAGGGTCATGTATCCCGGAAAGCTCTTCATAGATCTTCTCACCTACCATGACAGCAGCCAAGTTTGCCGTGTATGTAGAAAGGCAAAACATACAGAAAATGGCCCAAAGGTTCATGAGAAACCTTCCAGTCCAGCATTTTGGGGTTTTGATGGCTGCTGTTCTACCAAACAAGAGGGCATAGCAGACATTCAAGGCTGAAGAGAAAGAGAAGACTTTACTCCTATTCCGCCCCTTGGGAGTCATACCAAAGGGGCTCTTCCATTCATATAGGGTGAGGAAGATGGCAGTGATGTGCAGAGCCACAAAAATCCCTAGCCACAACGTCCAGTGCAGTGGCCACATGAAGGCTCCTATGGGAGCTGCTGTGTCTCGGGTCCTCACTAAGATGCCCAAGCTGGTGGAGAAGAAAGGACTGGTGAAGTCTATCACCTGACTTCGTGCAGTATTGATGCTGAAGGAAGTGACTGCCATGTGGGCTGAACCACTCAGGAGATCACCCACTAGTCCAGTCCAGTGACCATTTTTCCAGGCTCCATATTTTCCATCTCCAACGATATAGAGGTCAAAGTCAAAGTTCATGTCTTCTGCTAGCTTTTCCAGCAGATCAACGCAATATCCATAGCAGCACTTCTTGAGTTTGATGGATACTGTATCATTACTGCTATGGAGGCTACTAAAAAGGCTGTCCAATATGGAAGAGTCGTTAGTCATGGGGTCGAGGCAGAGTTGGCCAGCAGGGCACAAGCCTTCATCATCTACCTCCCGTGTGAAGACAAATGGATGCTCGACCAGGGTAACCACTCTCAGGTGTAGCTTACTTGGGTTTTGGAAGTGAGTTTTATGCCTCTGGGCCTGCTCTGGCCAAATTCCATAGTCCATGACAACCTTTCCCCCCTCCCAGCTGCCCAAGCGGGTCCACATTGGCTTTCCCATGGGGTCATGCTGCAGATTCCAGATGAAAAAGCTGTTTTCTGAGCTGATTATAGAGGAACCTTTTACTTTGATGGAACCACTGAGGCCTCTGAAAGTGGTGTTGGCTAGAAACCTGGGAAAGAGGAGCAAAGGCAAAAAGAAAGAGAGGTGAAGCCAAAGACAGAAAGCCATGCTCATTTTTACTTCTTTGTCTCAGTAAAAAGAAACTCTGATCTTTAAAAAAAGGCATTGCCTATGATTTCTTCAGGAATGAGTAATCTGGACTCTTTCTAGGAGAAGAGTCCTATCTTATTGAGCCAATGGGCTCCTACCCTCAGGTTCTAACATCCTGGCTAGATGCTTGGCTCTTGGTCTTACTCCAAATTTCTTTATTCCTAGTTAAGGGAGGTGTTAATTGTTTTTTGTTGTAAACTGGTAATTATATATTTTCCAAGCTGTGGAGTTTCTCAGCATCCTTAACATGTCTCATCTTCAATGTCTTCTGGTCACTACATTTGATTGCAACTAAATCAGCTGAATAAATATTTTTTTGGTGCAAGGAATAAGTTTTGGCAAATATACATATCCTAGATAATAAAAGGCTAATATGCAAATCAACCTAATGGTGGAACGACCGGTTGCAATGATGCGCACTGACCACCAGGGGGCAGATGCTCAATGCAGGAGCTGCCCACTGGTGGTCAGTGCACTCCCACAGGGGGAGCACTGCTCAGGCAGAAGCCAGGCTCACAGCTGGTGAGCACAGCAGTGGCAGGAGCCTCTCCTGCCTCCTCGGCATTTGGACATCTCCTGAAGGCTCCAGGACTGTGAGAGGGCGCAGGCTGGGCTGAGGGACTCCTCCGAGTGCACGAATTTTGTGCACCAGGCCTCTAGTACTTTTATAATTGCTTAAAAATTGTATTCATAATTCTAGAAAGCTGACAAATCTTGTTACCAGTGTTTTTCTTGATAGAGCGAAAACAATCAACATATCTGCCCTCCTGAGACCAGTTAAAGCTGCATGTGGGCTATCCTCCAGGGGACAAACAAAAAGATGATAAATAGATCTGCAGTTCTCCGGGAAGCCTCAGGCTACCCTCCCTCTATGTCATTAGAGAAGCACAAATGGCTCTGGCGTAGAAAGAGCTTTTGCCAGAAGTCAAAGGGAGGGAAATTATGAATTGAATGATACCCTGATTCCTAACTCTGCTAACCAGGGCACTGTCAGTATATATATGTTTTGATGTGGGTGGGACAGGAAAATGCTTTGTCTCTTTAGAGTCTAGGAAGATAAGACAATAGAGGTAACATGAAAGTTTGTGGCACTTATGTACTCTTACTTGTGGCCTCGGGTCAGAATGGAAGCCCAGACTTTGACATCAGACACACCTCTGTGAGTATTAGCCCAGCCACCTTCTAGCATTGTCCTTGGACAACTTACCAAATTCTAACCTTCATAACCAGCAAAATGGGTAAGATAATACTTCTTCCATGACAAGGGTTGGGAATAAAGCACATAAAGCACATACCATACCTCCTGACATATAACAAATATTCCAGATATGGTAGCAATTTTTTTGTGTCATTCAAGTTTTTTCAACCACGGCTGTCCCCAGGTCACTTTCCTGTCTTTTAGTATAATTTTTCAGGTTGGAGACACAAAATTCTACATTATGATAAACTCATAGAGGGTACTCAAAACACATTTCAAATGAAAAGGAATTAAATTGAAATGTGGACTGTACCATAAAATATTTTTTTGAGGAATTCAGATATTACAAGTGTAGGCTCTCAGCAAGACACATTCATCCATTGCCTGCCACAAACATTACCCTGTAATTTACAAATGCAAATACAAGCAGTAAGAAGTTATGCTGCCACAGAAGGGAGATAGAGAAATCAGAAAGTGTGAAGAATGTACTAATTTTCATTAGAGATATAAATGTAAATCATATTTGAAGATGCTACTATCACTAAATGCAATGGTGAAACTACTCATTTTGGTAGATTGCATGTAATGGTAATTATTCACGTTAGCACTCCCCAGTGGGATTTAACCACTTAAAATGAGTTCTATTTTGCAACAAGTAATGAAGTCTTAGTTATCTTAGACTTTAAAACGTTTTTCTGCTTCTTTAGAGAAGTAGGATTCCAAGTCATTAAAATATACAGATTAATCAATTGATAATTATCTAGGTACCATAAGGAAAGGATGACTACAATTGTGTTTCTGATGAGCAACCTACTTTTAGATTTGTTAAGAAACACACACACACACTCTTGCTGACATAGCCTAGGGAATAAAGTGGTTAGCAATAAATAGGTTAATTTCATTTGGTTACTTTAGTGGATGGGAAAGTAAAGTTAAAGTTGTAGAAAGAGGAGCCCTTCATTATTTGAAGAATATTGGGGCTTAATGATTATAGATTTTCAACTGAATGGGCCCTTGAAAGACTACCAATGAATAAATATATACTTAAGTTATCTCAGAAAAGAAGGCACCAAGAAGTCATCAGAAATCTTTCAGAGATTACATAACCCCCTCATTCCAGTAAAACAATTCCTCCTTATCAGTGACAATAACACTGAAGAGGGCCATGGCTGAAGGGCAGTGCTCAGTCGTCTTTGAGGTATTCATTTGTCACAGAAAGGCAAACCAATCAGGACAGATATGTCTTCAATTTCCCCAGACCACAGTGCAAGTTTCACTATGCAATTGGTACCAAGAAACTGGGTCTCAGAGAATCCCCATTTATGACATTATTTCTGTCTATTTTATTTTCTGTTTTATGGTGAGGGTAAATTAAAATGATCTCACTGATAGCTTTAATAGTCGCACATCACACTCTTTGTATTGTAATGACAATGTGAGGTAAAATTTCAATGCTCACTATGTTAATTAAAAGATTAAGACTGATACCCTAGTTTTGTTTAAATCAAATTCTACCGTGTTCATTTTGACCTTGCTCGTGTCTCTTCTTGGATGAACAAGAAAAAGAAAAATCAGGAATAATTTTATTGTCAAGAAAAACCGATACAAACACGAGGCTACTGTCCTTAACACTGGAGTTATACAGACGAAAGACACACTCGTTCACAAACAGTCTGGGCATGAGGAGAAAGCAAAGCGAATAGGCAATTCTAAACCAGTGTAGGTGCGTCATAATAGAGGTAAACCTGGGTGCTACTGGAACAGGGAGCAGGGCCCTTGCACAGTGTGCTCTAGGAGTGACAAGGAGGGCTTCTTAGAGCAAGAAGTGCCAGAGCTGAGTCTTAAAGAAGGAACTACAGGTAGACAGGAAGAAAAGCTGGGGACTGAGGCTGTCAACCCAGGGAGACAATGTGTGCAAAGCCAGAGACAGAGAGGGTGAGCCGTGGTATGATAAGCAGCGAGGAATAAGGCTGGAGATGTGGGTGGGAAATGAATTACAAAAGGTCTGAGCCACGATGAAGGTAATGGACAGCCATTGAGGAAATTTTAACTGGGGAAGGACGGGATCACCAGATTTGATTTTAGAAAGATTCCCCCCCACCCCACCCCAGCTACATAGGAAATGGTTTGGAAGGGGGAGGGGGCTGAGATAGTTTCAGATGTGAGGAAAAATGTTCCTTTCCCCTCTTGTTCCTCTTTTCCTCCCTCTCTGCTTTTTTTCCACAGGGGCTTAAGGCAACGAGGGCTATGATAATAGCAGTAGAAGTGGAGAGAAGATGGCACAATCAAGAGACACATAATTTCAAAAAGAAAAGTAGTGGTTTAAAAAGGGCCAAAGCCCTAGCCAGTCTGGCTCAGTGGACAGAGTGTCGGCTCTCAGACTGAAGGGTCCAGGGTTCAATTCTGGTCAAGGTTACATACCGTGGATGCATGCTCCATCCCTATGAGAGGCAATTAATTGATGTGTATCTCTCATATCAATGTCTCTCTCTCTCTCTCTCTCTCTCTCTCTCTCCCTCCCTCCCTCCCTCCCTCCCTCCCTCCCTCCCTCCCTCCCTCCCTTCAGTCTCCCTCTTCATTCCACTCTCTCCCTAAAAAAAAAAAAAAAAATAGAATTCCTTGGGTGAGGATTAACAAAAAAATAAAAATGAAAAGGGCCAACTGCAGACAGTTGCATTTAGTTCACAAACCATACTAAGAATGTGTGCAACTCGGCCCAATGGAAGATCATATAAATAAGATCTGGAGTGTTTAGTTGAATATCAGCTCTGTGTAAACCCTTAGAGCAATGTCGGTATAAAAAAGGGGAAAAGTAATCTTAATTTTTTAAAATAGAAATTTAGAGCCCAAGTCACAAGAACCAATAACAACACCACACTATGTGCTGATCACAGTGCTGCTCCAGCCTAGATATGAATTCTAAATAAATCAGATTCAGGAAGGCTGTAAGGAAAGGCAAGGAGGTGGAGGTGGATGTGGTAAGCACAATGAGCTGATTGGAGTTCTGAAGACTTTTGAGCTTCACATAACCAGAGATCTGCCTTAGTAACACTGATCTGAGAATAAAACGTATGTTTAGGAAGGAAGAGATAGTGACTGGGTAACCACTTAGAGAGTATTTCAATAGCTTTGTCACGGTATGACAAGGGCTTGGGTCTCACTGGGTAAGTGAGAACCTGGTTTAGAACTGTGCCTTGCACCACTCCACTCAGAAGAATGTAGCTTATTAGTTAATTCGTAATGGGGTAACTTATTACTTTAATAAAAATTCTCAATTATGGCACTAAGAATACGTGTTGACTTATATAGGAGCTGAGATAAAATTCGCACTTTGCAAATTATGTAAAAATATTTTTGAGGGAGTTCACAGTATAAATAAGATCAGTGGAGAATGTATTTAAGATGGATTTTAAAAGCCACATTTGCGCACAAAACTTGATGTACTAATTAAAGAATTTTTTATTCATTAAAACAAATGAATAAAGTTGTTAACAAAACAACACATCATCCATTCAATCATTTATTCATTTAATAATACTCACTATATGCCAGGCACTGTTCTAAGGGCTGGGGGATATAGTAGTGAACAAGACAGACAAAAATCAATGCAACTTGTATTCCACTGAAGGAGACAAGAATAAATATTATAAATAGGTAATGTGTATGAGACATTAGATACTGCTAAGTGCAAAGGAGGAAAA